GGAGGTTTCAGTCCAAGATTGGATAGTTCCATTGCTTTGGGACTCTGGCAAGGGCAGCATATCATGGCAGGAGTGTGTGGCAGACTTACCTCATGGTCAGAAAGCAGGGAAAGACATGAGGGTCTAGGGTCCCACAATCTCCTTCAAGGGCAACTCCCAGTGATCTAAGGACCTCCCACCAGGCCCCACCTTTCCAAAATCCACAGAACTTCCCATTAGCTCTACCTTGGAGACCAAGCCTCTAATACATGGACCCTCAGGGGATACTACCCACGTCTAAACCATAGCACTTCTTGTGCTAAATCCCTTTGATACTTTTTGGTTTTCATCTTGACTTTTTGTCAGGATTAAAAAGTTGGCCATTTTTTTTTCTTAAAACATTTTTTTCCTATATGGCTTCACTTATCCTCAGTGTCCTTTCCTTGTCCCTCTTCATTTACCTAGTCTCTCAATGTTGGATGCTCCATGCTTGGACCTGAGCTGTCTATGTTTTTCAGTCTACCCTCTCTCTCTGGATTGTCTCATTCTCTCTTACTGCTTAATACTGACTATACACCAATAACTCAAATTTAGTCTAAACAAGCCTAGACTTTTCAAGACTCTTATATCAAATATACCCTTGTATCACCAGGTCATTTCACCCGATGTCTCATGGGCATCTCAAATTTGGCCTATTCAAAGTTATATGCTTCATCTTTCTCTCCAATCTGTTTTTCTTTCTCCTGTCTTGCCCATATCAGATATTAGCATATTCAACCATCCTATTAGTCATGTAAGAAATCTGGGTGTTCCAAAGTAGAAAGGTTGGCTACCTTCTCAATGCCCATAAGCTAATCCTTTACTAAATCCCATGGAAACCATCTTCACAATAAATCTTCTATCTGTCTACTTCACCCCATTTCCATTTCTACCATTTATGCAAATCCAAGTTGCCATACTTATCTGGCATAAAACAGTAACTTTTATTTTCTTTTTCTTTCTTTCTTTTTTTTTTTTTTTTGTGTGTGTGTGTGTGGTGCTAGGGATTGAACCCAGGGCTTTGTGCATGCAAAGCAAGCACTATATTAACTGAACTATATCCCCTGCCCAACAATAACCTTTAATTGGTCTCTTTGCTTCCATTTTTCCTGTGCCATCAACATTGCCCCACTGCCACCAAGCACCATTCTCTCCTGGATAGTTCTAGACCAAATTCTTTCTCTGCATTTAAAAATTTTATTATAATTAGTTATACATGACAGTAGAATGCATTTTGATGTATCTTACATAAATGGAGTATAACTTCTCATTCTTCTGGTTGTACATGATGTAGAGTTACATTCTTCTATCTACTATCTACTATCATTTCTACCCCGCCTCCCTTCACTACCCTCTGTCTAATCCAAAGTACCTCTATTCTTCCCTAGGCCCACCCCCACCCCTTCCCGCTTATTGTGGATTAGCATCCACATATCAGAGAAAACATTCAGCATTTGATTCTTTGGGATTGGCTTATTTTGTTTCCTGCTCTCTTATTCTATTTTCCTAACCCTTTCTAAGGTTTTACTCTAGGTTTGTTAGTGAAAGTTATGTTAATAATTCCTAAGGATGACCTCTATTAATCTCATTCATTGCATAGAGATTTTTACTAATTTAACTTTCATTGATAATTATTTTTCAAGTTCTGTCAGAAACTTTCTGAGTTTCTGTTGACTTTTAAAAAAAAATACTATTATTTTTTAGTTGTCATTGGACACAATACCTTTATTTTATTTATTTTTATGTGGTGCCGAGGATCAAACCCAGGGCCATTCTAGGTGGGCACTCTACTGCTGAGCCACAACCCCAGTCCTTCTGTTGATGTTTTCATTGCTTCTTTCTTTCTATTGTAAATAACTGGGTTTGAGTAATTGCACAGTTGATGACTCCATGGAAAAAGCTATAAATCAAGATTTTACAACTAATCTTTTTCACAAATCTGATCCTTTTACCTCAGTCTTGCCCATATTAGATAATATCATCTTTATTCATCCTGTTAGTTACTTCAGAAATCAAAATTTGGGAGTCAACCTTTCTACTTTGGAACACCTAGGACCTCTGGGCACACTGGTTTTTCTTGTTAGTACACTATGTAATCCAGACCTATAATAGCCCAGTATTTGTGGTGAAAAGTTACTCTCCCTTCTTCTTGATATGTGGCCCCAGAGGATAGTATGATTTTTTTTAGATTCCAAATAAGATTTCACAGCAGAAATTTACCAACGACTTGTTAAAGCTGTATTTAGTAGAGACAGTGTTTCAAAGTACTGTGATATTTGGGAAAATGAAGTAGGGGCCCAGAAAAGCTGTTCAAACAGGTTACCAACAAAGGAAAAGTCAACATTCTAAGGCTTATTTAGTAAAATGCCTGCTCCTCATTATTACCAATGCTGGCCTCTGATGAGAAATTATGTTAAAATGTCACAAGTAGTTTAAACATTATAACAACTTGCTTTTTTATTTTAAAAAATCAGATTCTTAAATTTACTTAGAATGAAATATTTCCTTTTTTTTTTTTTTTTTTGGTAACAGGAATTGTACCAAAGGGTGCTTTACCACTGATTTACATCAGCCTTTTTTATTTTTTATTTTGAGACAGGGTCTTGCTAGGTTACTTAGGGACTTGAACTTGCAATTCTCCTGTCTCAGTTTCCTAAATTACTGGGATTACAGGTGTGTGCCACTGCTCCTGCCCTTTATTTTTTTTTTGTTAACGGTGGCATTCTTATGACTTCTTTAAGTGCTCTTAGCTCTTCCCAGAAGTTTCTTATTTTTTCTTTTCTCATTTGAGTTTTAGCATCACTTAAGTTATGCTTCTAACCTTGTATAATTTGTAAGCTTGTCTAGAATTAAGACCACCATTAACTACCACAAAAGTACCAAAGAATATATTTTTTAATTTTTTTTTTGTAGTTTGTAGATGTACAGAATGCCTTTATTTTTTATTTTTCTTATTTTTTTATGTAGCACTAAGGATTGAACCCAGTACCTCATATATGCTAGACAAGCACTCTACCACTGCAAAAGAATATTTTAATGCTACAATCTTTCCTATTGCTTGTAGAGTTTCTGCTGAAATGACTGAGAATTCAAGCTTGAAAATGAGGCAGAAAAAGGAAAGCATATTGTTCACCAGGATACTGTGGACTTATATTGATATATAACAAGTTGATTCAGAATACCAGAATTTTATTCTATTCTGTTCTTCTGGGGTTTTTTTCTTTCTTCTTCCTTTTATAATGCAATTAACTAGTCCCAGGTAAGACATTAAATTTTGTTTTATGAATTGTCATGGCTCCGTTTAGATTTTTGTCTTTTTCTTGCAATTGGTACATATAACTTTTAGAGCTCTTATACTTGTAAGGCTTGGAGGGCTCAGATTTGAAATGATATCTTGGTTCCACTGTTCTTGTTTTAAACTAAAGCTATATAAAGCTTGTGAGTTGAATGAATTTCTGAATTTGAAAATGAAAAAAATCACTTTCTTAATTCTTATCAATTCACCCTTGTACCTTTCTTATGAAAATCTCTAGTCATAGAATATTTGTCTCTTTGCCCTCCAAATCTCTGCCCCCAGTTAGGCACAAACCTTCAAGACATTTTCAAAGTGTCACTGCTCAGGAGAAAACAAACACCACTATAAGTGTGTAATTGTGTTCTTATTCTAGAGAACACTGCTTTGGTTTTAGTTGTTTTATTTTCATAATTTAAGTCAAGAAATGTCTACTTCAAGCAGCCCTGAGTTCTTAAGTCATTCCTGGTGCCTTCTCCTTTAGCTTTACCCATCAGAACACATGCCTGGGAGATTGCAAGGGAACCCCACAAGACAAGCAGGGGAAGCTGGGTTCTGAATTCAGTGAGGGAATGAAGTCCTGAGCCTCATCTCTCTACAAAAGACCTGCTTAGCTGCTAAATGCAGGAGTTGCTGGAGGACCCAGCCAAGCACAGCTAAGCCTTGTAGTAGGTCTCTCAAATCAATGGACCTGATTCTGTGAATAGTTTCATGCAAACCAAGTGAAATAAAACTGCTTTGTTAAACCTTGTAACACTCTCTACCTTGCATCCTCTCCCCTGAGCCTCACATTTCCCTTTTTATCATTATTGATCCATCATCATCATCAAATGCTTTTTTAAGTTTCTGCATGGTATAGAACACTTTCCTTGGTTCTGGTTAAAAAAATGAGGTCTTTCCCTCAGTGGACCTCCAGTGCATCTGGGGAAGGGGTAACACTCAGTGAAAGTACAAGCTGTATCCCACAGGTTGGGCATGTAGTCAGTGCCACAGAGAGGGTTCTTCGAGGGTTGCAGCTCTGGGGAAAGTCCTCTGGAAGAGATAAGATTGGTAGTGTGGCTGAAACAGGGAGGAATGAAGTCCTGACAATGCCCTCAAAGGAGTACTTTATAGCCGGGCTTGCCAGGAAGGGGGCTCCCTCCCAGAGAGTTAACCCTCACTGTGTCCCTGAGAGGGGAGACCTTGAAGGAGCTTGAGTTTGTGTCTCAACTCTTCTTCAAATAGAAGCAGCAGTGCAGTTAAAAAGAAAGGTTCTCACAATTTCTATTTTTTTATAATGATGTATCAGGTCCATGGGATAAATCAGGCCCATAGTATGATGCACGAATTCATTCACTTATGCCTTGATGAGAGACTCTGCTGGGCACAGGGGACAAGGTGCCAACATGGATACTGCCATCAGTATAGCGACTGTTTCTCTAGATTTACTGTATAAGAATCTCGGGACTGGCCCAGAGAATCTGCATTCTCAATAGCTCCCCAAATTCCTGGTGCCCATTTTTCCTCAGCTAGCGTTTGAGCATGCCGGTTTGCTGGCTTTAACTCGGTAGGCTGCTTTCAGGGCAGCAAAGTCTGAGCCAAGCAGAAGAACAGTGCAGACAGAGGCAGGGGGCCTCGCGGATCTCTCCAGCTGGTGGTTCTGAGGGAGCTGGCAGCTCCGCCCCTGCACGCCAGCCCCGCCCCTGCTGTCAAGAACGAGAGGGCTCCGCCCCCGGCCGACGCGCGCCGCCGAGCCCAGGCCCCACCTCCCACTTCTAACCCCGGACCCTCTGCAGGGCAAAGACCAGAACCATCCACAGGACCCGTACAGCCACAGGCCCTGCAGACTCCAGTACCACACGGGAGCTAGAGAGTGACATGGCGACGGCGGCCCAGCCCGAGAACCTCTCCCTTGTTGTGCACGGACCTGGGGACATTCGCTTGGTAAAAGAGGAAGGAGGGTGGGAAGCCTACTCGACCCTTCCTCACTCCTCTCTGAGCCCAGCAGGTCCCAGCTCTCCAGTTCCAGCCTAGCAAAGACCCCTCACCTTAGGTGTTTGTTGAGCTGGTTACCACAGGGGTTAAAGTGGGGGTGGGGGTGGGGGTGGGGGTGGGGTAGGTAGTGATTAGTAGTTAACGATTATCATTAAAGCAGGAATATTGTCTGTGCCTCTCTGAACTTAGCCCCGTGACTGGCACGTGGCCTATATCCAGGACTGTTGCAAATGAATTGAAGCCTTTCCCCTCCTTTGCCAGCTGCAGATTCATTGCACTTTTCCAGCTGCAGATTCATAGCCCAGACTCTTGCCATTGCACTTTTCAGAAGAGATGCAAGAATGCTGCCTGGATTAGGACCTGCCCAGAACTGCTCTTCTGGGTAGAGCACAGGGTAGAAAGAGAAGATAGACAACACTAAAAACGAGTGAAACTTCAATTTACTCTCCTTTGTGTGGGACTGATAAAAACCTCCCCTGCAAGGTAATTATGATCTTGAGAATACCCAGCACTTATTAAGTGTTCAGAAAATGATAGCTTTGGCTGGCAATGTAGATAATCACGCTTAGTTTGTTTTCCAGTGATTTGCCTCTTTGATCTGGTTCCCTTGACCTTTTAGGAACTTTCTGTATACATCTGTTCTTTACACCCTGACTTCTGCCCTCTGCTAAGGGGACCAAAGTTCAGGGAGCTGCTGAATCAGCCCAGTGGTCATGCCACAGTTCCATTGACAAGTCCATTTCAAATGGCCTGGGATGGCATTTGGCATGTGGACAGGTATCAGCCATCTTTATTGCTCCTAAGCACTTTCTTCCCTTCAAAGAACATGCACCAGGATCTAAATTGGAGAGACTCAGAAGATTATCAAGATTAATAGTAATTGACAGTTTAAGAATCTGTGATGGTCTCTCTAAAGAATGCAAACAGACTGAGTTTGGTGGCAATTTTGTTCAAGACTCCCTTTAATACCCTGTATATCTCCCTTCTATCTGTGTAAGAATCCTTATCTGAAGGATTCTCTCCATTTCCTCCGTTGAAGAAAGTGCCTCCCCAAGTTGATAGGCTTGGTTAGTTAACAGAGCCAAGACAAGAATTCAGATGTTCAAACTCCCATTCTAATGCTGTTTCCTCTCATTTTGTAGTCTCCATCCAAGGTCCTGAATTAAAGTGACACTATTACTGTTTATTACAATAAATGCCTCATCAGGCATTATGAGGAAGGGAAATTGGTACTACTTTATATTGCTTATAGAGTGATTTCAAATGCCGTCCTTCAAACATTTATAAGAGGTTACCTTCCATGTGCCAGGCACTGGACCAGAACGCTGGAGGAAGAAAGCTCCCAAGTTTACTGAGGGAGACAGATATGAAGTAAACTTTTGAAGTAAACAATGTAGCAATGTGAGGGCTTTGATGATCATGGCAATGAGTAAAGGTCTCACTGAGAGTGGCCTTTAGCCCTTGGCCCTCTATCTGTTCAGAGCCTGCTTGAGGCCATGCACCTAATAAGTAGAAGCCCTAGAATTACAACTCCAGGTTCTGCTTTGCCTTCACTCCTAAACTCATGCTTTCCCACTTCTCAGGCAGACTACCCCCCTTTAAGAGGGAGCTCACCTTAAATTTCCTCCATTGGTTTTGCATTAGGACCCATTCTGATTAGAATGGGGATTGGGTTGAGGTGACTGTGTTCTAACGGCTCTAAAAAACATGAGAATTTTATGTGCAGTTGTGGGACTGGTACACAGTAAAAGTGTTCAGGGGCATAACCAGGAGGACTCCCAGGTTTAGTTTTAAGACTTGTAGGTGCGTGAATAATTTACTAGTCAGAAGAATAGATTAAAATAATGAGATTAGCTTTGAAAATTTGAGTTTAAGATGTTTCCATGACAGATTACAGGTTAACTTTGAGTGGTTCCCTTGGATACAGGAATGCACCTGGATTGGTGATGTAGTCATTTGTTTCTCTACTGAGCATACTGCACCCATTCCCCAGGAGACATTTGGAAATGTATCAGGGAGTTTGGTTGTCACAATGATTGAGGGCAACAGCTGATAGATTTTATTGGAGTTTATTGAATTCACTGTCCTGCACAATAAAGAATTGTCCTGTCCTAAATAGTGCTCTATTAGGAAATTGTGGATGGCTGAACAGAACATGTATAAGCAGAACATGTAGGGGGAGAAGGAAAGAAGCAGGAGACATTACCCTGGAGAAATACCCAATACTGGAGGGAAAGGGACATAAAGGTTGTCAGCAAAAACTAAACAGAGGCCCGTGCCTCCTCAGGGGTGACTACAACACACCCCTGAGGACAGGCTTTCTGGGCCCTTGTACTCCTTCCCAAGCATAGTTTCTTCCTGTTTCCTCCATAAGGCTCCTTCCCCCCAGTAAAGTATTTCTGCCTATCCACCCTCTTCCTTGAGGTGAATAGGCTCAGTGATCTGGGATTGGATTGATAGCGCCAGTAGTGAACCAGAGATAGAGACAGAAAGAAACATCATGGGGAATCTTTGAGGGCAAGAGACCTGTTCTCTCTATAGAAGAACTCAGGATTTCCTGAGCCTAATAATAGAGTAAGTCATTAGTGGCATTTGAAAAGCCATAGGCTAGGTTGAATATGAATTACAGAAGAGAAGACTGGGAAGGGGGAAGAATTGGAATGTCCCTCACCCCCAGCATGTTTTTTTTTTTTTTTCCTTGAGTACTGAGGATTAAACTCAGGGCTACTGCATGAGTACTAGGGCAGCTGAGTTACATCCCCAGACCCTTTTTAAAAATTTTATTTTGAGAGAAATTCTCACTAAGTTGCCCAGGCCGGCCTTGAATTTGGGATTTAGAAGAGATCCCAAAAGCCTTCTCAGTAACTGGGATTATAGGTGTGCACCAACATGCCCAGCTGTTTTGCCTTTTTGGGATAAGACCACCAAACAATAGATTTAAAACTCTTTCACTCTGGGGAATTGAGGCCCGGTGCCCATTTAGGTGGATCAAGGGTTGGTCACCTGATAAAAATGATCCTTGCCTCAAGAACTCATGTAAAGGGAGTTGTTTGGGGAAATTTCTATTCCAAAAACCTAAAGCAGGATTCTGCAGGGTTCTGAAGCAGGAAGGAAGGCTCAGCTTTTGCCAGTGCTGCCTTCCTGCTTCATGTAAAACCAGGAACCTGCCCATTCAGGGGGGTGGTTCTGTGGGAAAATGTGACCTGGGCCACTTCACTCTATCTAGTAGAAACAAAACCTTAACCCAGAATCCCTCTTGCCTGTGGAGAAGATATGACTCCCTTTTTTTTCTTGATGCAGTAGGGAGCTGCAGGAAACAAATTTGCCTGCTAGTTGGTTAGTGGTAACAGCAAAGAGGGAGCATTATAAGTTGTGTGTTAAATCAGAGAGAGAGAGAAAGGGAGGGAGGGAGGACATAAACATACTGAGAGATTGGCTGTAGTCTTTCATAATGAGGAAAATGAAACAAAATCTGAGATTTAAAACCTTCTGCTTCCCCTCCCCATTTTAAATAGAGAAAGTTTAAGGCTTCCAGAGAGTAGGAGGGAGAGGTGTGGAAACATTCATAAAGAAGCAAACAGCCAACGGCTGGGGTTGTGGCTCAGCAGTAGAGCGCTCACCGAGTGCGTGTGAGGCCCTGGGTTCGATCCTCAGCACCACATAAAAATACATAAATAAAACAAAGGTATTGTGACCAACTTCAACTAAAAAATAAATATTAAAAAAAGAAGCAAACATCCAATCAGCAAACAATATCAGTTTGCTGAGGTCTTTAAATGGAAACAATAATAAGGTCAAAGCTAAGGTGAGGGATCAGAGTGGGATTTAGTTCTAGCTCTATTGCTGCAAGTTGTGTGATTGGACAAAGTATTTTCTGCTTCAATTTCTCCATCTTGAAAAGGGGATAATAGTAGTATTCATCTTTTGGTTGTGTGAGTTCAATGGCATCATGAATGTGAAAGGCCCAGCACAGCATCTAGCACATTACCAAGAGTATATGCTAACTGTGGAGTTAGGCAGGCAGCAGGCTAGAGACATTCAAACGCAGATGATTTTTAGCCAAATTATTTTAATGTGGGCCGGGCTTCATATTCTTCATATTCTTCATTGAATACTTCATATTCAACTGTTAATAGTTTATGATTATTTGGTCAGTCTAGAGAAATTTAGAAATTGCTTTTTTAAAATTTATTTTTATATTTTATTTTTAGGTGGACACAATATGTTTTTTTTTAAGATGTGAAACTTTTTAAAAAATATCTATTATTTTTTAGTTGGACACAATATCTTTATTTATTTATTTTTATGTGGTGCTGAGGATCGAACCCAGGCCCCGCACATGCTAGGCGAGTGCTCTACCACTGAGCCACAACCCCAGCCCCTGGACACAATATCTTTATTTATTTTTTTTATGCAGTGCTGAGAATAGAACCCAGTGCCTCATGCATGCTAGGTGAGCACTCTATCCACTGAGCTACAGCCCCAGCCCCTAGAAAGTGCTTTTTATTGGGAAGTGAATTACTAATTCATGAAGCTGGGATATAAAACATTCAAATTAGTTTTTCTGTGCAGAATCTTTGTTTGGTGGTGGTAGGTAGGCTTTTTTTTATTTGTTTGTTTGCTTTTGGTACTGGGGATTGAACCCAGAGATGCTTTACAGATGAGTTATATATATATATTTTTAAATATTTACATTTTGAGACAGGGTTTCACTGAGTTGCTGAGACTGGCCTCAAATTTGTGATCCTTCTATTTCAGCCTCCTGAGTTGTTGGGATTACAGGTGTGTGCCACCATGCCCAGCAAATGTGCTATAATTTTAATGCTCTAGGGTTTGCTAGAATGGTAAGGAAACTAACAAAAGGGGATTAACATTTTGAGTGCCTACTACATTCTGTGCATGTCCTGGGACTTTAATACACTTTAATACAGTGCTTCATGAATTTCTATGATGAAAGGTTCAATTTTATTTGTATTTCCAGTTAACCATGGACTAATACTTGCATTGGCTGCACTTGGATGTAGTGTAGTATCAGACTGCTATAACCATTTTTAAGCGTACCTCTCCACTTCTTTATGTATTGCATAAATAAATAACAGTTCATCATAAGTAACAGTTCATGGACCACTTCTAAGTGCATGTTATATCCCTTCTTCCTGAAAATCAGCTTTTCTTCAATTTCAGGCATGAACATCTGGACAGGGAGAAGAATGGGAATAAAACAATTTCCCCATTCCAGGGACCTGAGCACCCTGGAGGGGAAGTAGTCAGATTTTTGTTTTATGATTAGTTATATGAATAGATGGCAGGGTAAAGGAAAAATAATTATGAGTTGATATTGTTTAATTATAACAGAGAAAATAATGCATCAACATCAAATTTACAGATTAATCAGAGTTATTGAAGATATTTCTTGAGATTTTGCTCTTTGAGGAAATGTAATATACTCCATGTCAATAGTTTTAAAAAACTGTATCTAATAC